GGGTCTCCAGCTCGTAAGGCAAGACCTCCACCTCCAGACCGCCCCTGCCTTCTTCCTGACGACTCGGCGAGCTGTCAGGTTGACTTTGGCTCGTGGTGGCCCCACGTGGGTCAGAGCAGAACTGTGTGCACAGGGCTTTCAGGGCTGATCGTCCTTCCCCCCTTAGGCCCTCCTCCCTCCCTCCCTTTCCGTTGTAGTTTGGGGGAAGGTTTACGGAGTCAATGAGTTATCCAGTCAACAGTTGATACACACTTTGTTTCGTGATATTGGTGTAATTCCTCAGTGGGGCAGCTCTCTTCGCACTTCCTGCCTGGGTTTCCTGTTTCTAGTCATCCTTCTCCTTGGCCATTTCCTGCCTTCTGAGTTTTGCTTTTGGGCAAATGTGCCCTTCTGGTCTGTGTGGCTGATGGTACTGAGGAGAACGTTCCTCTCTTGTGTTATTAGTCACTTTATTGGCCTGTGTGTTGCCTGGCTGAAAGTTATCTCCAGAGATGAATCAACTTGGAGGGTGTCTAAGGGCCATAGTCTCAGGGGTCCATGGGTCTTTTTCAGACCAGTAAGTCCAAGCTTTATGTTGTTGAATTTTGTTCCACATTTTTCCCCCCTTTCGGTGCAAGAATTTCTGTTGTGATCCTGATCAGAGTAGTTGGTAGTGGTAACCGGGCACCATCTTGTTCTTCTGATCTCTGGGTAGTTGATGTGGTCCATTCGTCCTTTGGAGTCTTTGATTTTCTTCGCTCTTCTTTTCTGCAGACGAGGAGCATCTTAGACAGCTGCTCGCAAGCTTTTGCAGGCCCTGATGACTGCTCACTGAAGTGGGAGGTGGAACATTGTCTTTGTTGGCTGTGCTATGCCATTTGACCTAGCCGTCCCTGAGACTGTGGCCCTTAGTCTCCAAGCCCAGTGACCTCAAGGTGTTTGGTCAGGGTTGAGAAATTGTCAAAAATTTGCCCTCAGCATGGACTGTGTCGTTGGATATATGTGCAGCACAAGCAAATGCTGTAGAAATATCCTCTGCCAGACCTCTCTATGCTTGCGGGTACGCGCCCATGTGCCTTCCCCCATCTGTTCAGCTTGCACGTCCACCTGTGTACGCTCGTGGGTGTGTCCCCACGTGCCTTCCCCCATCTGTTGAGCTTGCACGTCCACCTGTGTATGCTCGTGGGTGCGCGCCCACGTGCCTTCCCCCATCTGTTGAGCTTGCACGTCCACGTGTGTATGCTCGTGGGTGCGCGCCCACGTGCCTTCCCCCATCTGTTGAGCTTGCATGTCCACCGTGTACTCTCGTGGGTGTGCCCCCACGTGCCTTCCCCCATCTGTTGAGCTTGCACGTCCACCTGTGTACT